GTTGTTTGCTTGTCTTTTGGCTTCTTCGATGTAGAGGGCATCGATGCTAGTGCCAAGTCATGCACCGCAAACATCTCTCTTGCTGCGTGCTGCTCCCCGTACGCTGCTTTTACTCCATCCTTGGTTGGAAACTTCATCATTTGATGAAGGGTTGAGGGCACTACCCTTATACTGTGTATCTACGGCCTTCCAAGTAATACATTGTATCTCATGTCACCTTTGATAATATGAAACTTGGTATCTTGGATTGTACCAGCTACGTTGACCGGGAGGATGACCTCCCTTTTCGTTGTCTCGCTCGCCATGTTGAATCCATTGAGGACTCGAGAGGTGGGTACGATCTGGTTGAGCAGTCCGAGCTGCTCCACCACCCTCGACCTGATTATGTTGGCCGAGCTACCTGGATCCACGAGCACACGTTTAATTTGAAACTTATTCAAAAGAAAAGAAATTACTAGTGCGTCATTATGAGGCTAAGACAAGGTCTCGATGTCCTCTTCGCTGAATGTGAGAGCATCCTCTGGTATGGAACTCCAAGTTCGCTTTTCCCTGGTGATGGATATTTTTGTTCGCTTGACAACGGGTCCTCGTGGGGAGTTGAACCCTCCAATGATCATGTGGATGACATGCTGTGGTTCTTCTGGTTCGTTCTTCCTGTTCGCCCCTCTTTCCCAAAACTAGTTTTTAGCTCGGTCCTTGAGGAACTCTCGAAGGTGCCCTTCACTAATCAGTCGGGCTACCTCTTCTCGAAGCTGTCTGCAATCCTCGGTCCTATGACCGTGAGTGCCGTGATATTTGCATATCAAGTTAGGGTTCCTCTGTGAAGGATCTGATAGTATGGGTTTTGGTCACCTGATATCTTTGATTTTACCTATGGCCGATATGATGTCCGAGACATCGACATTGAAGTTGTACTCAGATAATCGGGTTGCCTCTACCGGCCAGTGTGCCTATCGAACCCGGCTTTACTCATGAGTTCCCGGGAACTTTGACATCGATCTGTCCTTCGATCGCCTCGAGATATATTGCGCCTTGGGGTATTTCTTCGATCTTCCACAAACGGCTGGTATCTTTCCTTATTTGGCCTCGACTCCCTCTATGTAAACCTTTGTTCCTTTGTTAAGAGCCTGCTTGGATATACTGAGCCAGAGAGGGCTCCTAATTAGTCATCCTCGACACTGATATTCGATTGATATTTGTTGTGTACATCTGCCCAAGTCATGGAGGGATACTCAACCAAGTTCTGCTTTAGCTGCTTCGAAGCTATCAAGCTTCGCTCGTTCAAGCCCTGATTGAAGGCCTGCACTGTCCAGTCATCGGAGACCGGCGGTAATTCCCTTCGCTCTATCTAGAAGCGAGATACAAATTCCCTCAGCATCTCATTTTCCCTTTATTTGGTCTTGAAGACGTCGGACTTCCTTGTAGCAACCTTGATGGTACTGGCATGTGCCTTCACAAAAGAATCTGCCAACATGGCAAACGAATCCATCGAGTTTGGGGGTAGGTTGTGATACCACATCATGGCTCCCTTCGACAGTGTTTCTCCAAATTTCTTCAGCAAGACGGATTCAATCTCATCATTCCTTTTTACAGCACAAGTATAAGCGGTAATGTGCTAATTAGGGTCTGTGGTCCTATTATACTTCGGGACATCGGGCATTCTGAATTTCTTAGGGATGGGCTTCGGATCCGCACTTGATGGGAATGGTTTCTGCATGAACTTCTTTGAATCTACACCCTTCAGAATGGGGGGTGCGCCCGGGATCTGATAGACCCTCGAGTCATAAATCTCCACCTTTTTATCGTTGGCCTCTATCTTCTTTTCTCCTGACTTGATTCTTTTAGTCAATTCCTCGAGCATTTTTATGATTGTGGGGTCAGTCCCCGAGCTGCTTTCATCGGGTCTTTCTAGCACTGGTTCGTGCTGCATGTTTATTGGTTTGGCGGTGTTAGGGGTTCTATTCTGACTTTGAAGTTGAGTGATGGCGACTTGCTGGCCTGCAACATCTCGAATATCACTTGGAGTCTGACTCTTTCTTCTTCCATTCCTCGTACTTCTTGGCCTCCAACCTGCGCTTCCCAATGTCCATTCCTTACAGGGTTTGCACCTGCTTCCGCGTTTAGAGCATTGTGGGAGCTGATATCAACTGGCTCCACGTTTGGCACTCCCTCAGGGTTTACAGGAGGTACACCAAGCCCTATGCCGTTGTGTTCTCCAAGTCCTTCATTGTCATGAGCATGTGCATTTTGTGTGCTAGACATATTTTGGCCTGAAATCAAAAAATCTTTGACAAGAAAAAGTATGAAGAATAATGTGTGTTATCAGAAAATTAGCACCAAAACAATTATTATTATTTTTAGCCCCACGGTGGGCGCCAAATTGTTTACCTTGAAAATGGTAATAACAATTATATTTGATTTGTGATTCTAAAAATACGTGATTTATCTTAATACTGTTTGTTATGTGAATAATGCTAAGTGTAAACGAGCAAGAAATGATAAGCAAACTAGTATGGTCGTAAGACTGAGGGCTTCAAGCTCGGCGATATAGGACCTCGAGGGCAGACTTTAACAGATGATAATGAACAATAAATGAACCAATGAACAATGATGAAGAATAATAAATGAACTAATGAACAATAATTGAACAAGCAATAAATTTGTAGAGTAATTGTTGAGCACATTTAGGTAAGAAAAGTAGAGAATGTTCTATCGTATTCAATATTCAAGCCTATTACAAAATGACAAGGGTCCCTTTTATAGGGGGAGGGGGAATCCTAACATAGTACATGACTAATGACTAGAAAATGCTATTGGTACAACTGTGTAATGACCTAGTACGAATTTGTACTATTCTTACAGATCTGGTCAGCTCTAACCACGTGTACTTGGGAGCTTTTTCGCCTTTCCATGACGATCATCGATTGGTACTACTCCGAGATTGACCATAGTGAACCTTCGATGTGCTCCCTCGAGGGACGCACCTCGGGGTCACACTTAGCATTCTGCTTCGAGCTTCTCGGGGTTGAGCGTGGAGTTCCACAATAGCCCCAAAGTCGAATTCCCTAATTTTGGCCGTATACAGATACTTAAGGCAAAAACTTATATTAATAAGCACGCTAAATATTAAGAAAGTTTACGGGTATTTTTCAATTTATATTTTTTATGAAAATTAACTCACTCGATATTATATATAATTTGTCCTATTTTAAATTTAGCAATCTGACAACAAAATAAACTTTCATAATTGATTAAAACAATAACGTATTCAAGGATTCTTTTTTTTTTATTTTGATTTCTACAAATAAATTTCCAGAGTTGTGGTCCTTGAGAAAACAATATTTTTTTTATATATTGATAAATTACGTAGAAGTTAGGAAAGTGCAACAATGGGGATTTCTTTGAATAGATTTGTGAATTTTTTTTTATTTATATTTTCTCTTAAATGTTTAAAGGGAAAAAAGGAGAAATAAAATTTCAAAAATAAACTAATAATATCAAAGAAAACAAATCGATTACGCAATAATTATGATAACTTGAAAAAAAAATATAAAAATTCAACTAGATTATGCATTTTGTACAAGAAAAAGACTCGTTATTACTTTATATTTAGATACTTAAGGCAAAAACTTATACTAATAAGCACTCTAAATATTAAGAAAGTTTACGGATATTTTTCAATTTATATTTTTTATGAAAATTAACTCACTCGATGTTATATACAATTGTCCTACTTTAGATTTAGCTATCTGATAACAAAATAAACTTTCATCATTGATTAAAAAAATAACTTATTCAAGGATTCTTTTTTTATTTTGATTTCTGCAAATAGATTTCTAGAGTGGTGGTCCTCAAGAAAATAAAAATTTTCTTTATGTATTGATAAATCACGTAGAAGTTAGGAAAGTGCAATGGGGATTTCTTTGAATAGATTTGTGAAAGAATTTTTTTTATATTTTCTCTTAAATGGTTAAAGGGAAAAAAGGAGAAATAAAATTTCAAAATAAACTAATAAGATAAAAAAAAGTCAATAGGACCTATTAATAAACAAAAAAGAGCAATTAACTAAAGAAAAAGGAGAAACAAAGGATCCTCCTGTAATTGTCTTAAATGCACCAAACAAAAGCTTTTAAAAGTCTTAAATGCACCAAACAAAAGCTTTTAAAAAATTGAGCTCGATTGGATTCAATCCCCCATCATTTGGGTGAAAATTGCAGTGCCTTGCCAGTGGCACCTTGAGCCTTTTTGTTACTGAGGGTGCCACTTATATTTGTATACATTCCTTCTATATATACATATATGTATACATATTATTGCATAGTCTTGGCCAAAGCTTGTGGTGGCGTACAATTCCGTCCCTTATACGTAAATCTGCCCCTGCATATCACTATAAATTTCTATCTTGACTCCCTATTTTTTTTAAAATAAATTGTATACCTTTAAAATTACATAAAAGATGTACAAGTTATAGATGCAACAAGCTTGATCACATCTATATCACATGGCAACTCAATGATTGAAAAAATGAATGTACGAAAGGATAACAGATCGATTATTGCAAATACAATCTAATTTATGAGTGAATTAAGAGTCATTCCTACGGAGAGTAGCAATAAATAATTATTATTCTCTTTTTAAATTAGTGATTACTGTTCACACTTTACTAAACTAACTAAAATTTGAAGCTCATAAATCTCTATATGTTAAACTAAGTGTTTGTATCACCTTAAAGACAAGTTAGTTCTAATCCCATCAGTGGCGGATCCATGTGGGTGCTTAAGCACTCATTAACTTTGACCATATTAGGTAAATTTGTATAGATAATTATAAAAATATTTTGATAAATATTGAGTGAACACCCACAACTAAATTCATTTTTCCTTTTCTTTTGAAATATTTTTCGGCAAGCACCCATTACTTTAAAATCCTGAATCCGCCACTGTATCCTATTATATTTAGTGTGTATGATTTTCTTTTAGTCAAAAGATCCACCNCATATTAACAAATAAAAGTACATGGAGGATGACATACACCTTAGCCTCCAAAGAGTGATGACAATTGATACTAATGATTCATATGCTAAATTACAAAAAGAATATTGCCGAAATATGAGAGGACTCCTCCCTCCAATACACGATTTGTACAAGTAATAGCTTACTTATAATTCACTGCTAATATTCTTCATCTCAATCATTTGGAATATTAAAAGATAAAAATCTGGAATGGCATCTTGCTCTTGCTTCAAGAAAGCTCTAAATTGCCTAGGCAAACATAGAGCTTTCTATGAGAAAAAAGTGATTTTTGTCTCTTTCGCCCAAGCTTAGCATTTGATCTGTAACAACATTTCCTTCCCTAATTGTGCCATGGGGACCTAACTTTCATATTGATTATGTTGACAATCGAAAGAGAGTCGAACTTTACCACAAGCTTTAGTAAATTAAACCTACCAATGCATAAGTTCAAGCCCTGTAGAATTGTCTTAGCTTCTGCCATGCATATTATTGCTACAATGTATGTAGTATCCAGCAAAAGCTACTACCATATGTCCATAATAATCACTGATTATGCTACCCGCTCAAGTACTCCCAGGGTTTACTACAGCCATCTACATTCATTTTTATCTAGTCCTCCTTAGGTTTGGCCCATTTTACCAACTGACTTTGGAGGACTTCTTGCAGTTTTTCCACTCTAGCACATTTATCCTTTCAAGCTAAAGGTAATTGCAACTTAGAGAATTGACACTGGAAAATCAGAGATACTTGATGGCACACTTGCCATATGGATGCCTACCAGACATGTGGAATTTTCAAACCTTGTTCTTAGCAGATTACAGATGATAGGTACTGTAGTAGCATTCCAAGAACTTCATTATTTGGTTTAGTCAGCCACCATTATAATGCCAAGCTTCTAAAAATTCCTGGTGTATACTTAATGCCACAGTTACTAGTAAAGTATGCACAAACTTGTCTTGCTATGTCATTATGCCCAAAAAGGTGTGTAATAGTCTCCTGTTGAGGACAGGTATAATAGTTGCATCTTGAAGGAATCATAAAACCAAACATTTGAGCAGTTTCATCAGTTGGTACTCTATTTTGTTGGAGCCTCATCATGAGAAAGGAGACCTTAAAAGATATTTTTCTGTGCCAAACATACTTGCAAACAAAGATTTTATTTCTAACATTCCTCAATTGTTGCCATGTAGACTTGGTGGAGAAACTGCTTGAGTTTTCCAGTGTCCAACATGCCCAATTTTTCCTCCTCCACACAATTTAACTTTTTGGATCTTATTGACAACTGTAGCAGAGAAGAGACGACTAAGTTTATCTCACCTCAAACTTCTATTAGGTAAGAATTATATGACTTTAATGGTCTCTGAAGTTGGCCTGTCACCTGTAAAGCAGCTAAAGCTCCCTAACCAGTCCAATTATCCCACCAAAAGAAAACATCACATCTTTGATCTCCATCCCTAATTTTACATACAATGAAAGGATCTACCTTATCTTTGATCTCCATCATCCTTCTCCAAATATGTGATTGACAATATCTCCATTTCTTTGCAATTGGTGAAACCTGCTACCGTACTTGGCATCCAAAAATTGACTCAACACTGAGTTGTGAGTTCTAAAATTCCACCGCATCTTAGTAGCAAACGCATTAGAAAAGTCCTAGAGGGTTTTAAACATGCTCCATCTTTAGCATTTGGGTAACATAGATCAAACTACTTCTTCAAATGAAATTTTTATTTGTCCTTTATCTTTTCATAGAAAGAATTGGCCATAATCTATCCAATTTGAGGTGCGGGCCCGGGGTGGACTTTTTTGGTTGACTTTGCATATTTGATTCAAATCCTTAGCTTTATCATTTGAAATTATTTTCGATGGCTTTTACTGATGATATTAAGTTACTTTGGCTAGATTGGAGTCGCTCGGAGGTCGATTCGCGGGGCAAGGGCTTTTTGGAGTATTAATCTCCGTGCTTTGAGGTAAGTAACATATCTAAACTTAGATTTGAGGGTAATTAACCCTAGGAACTATGTTGTGTGAGATGAGTTGGGGTGACAGCGTGATGCACATGCTAGATAACGGGCGTGAGTGCGTGTACCAGAGTATTCATGATCCTAGTTGACTTTAGACTATTGCCGGACTTGTTTTACTATCATGCTTTATTAGATCCATTTTTTCCTACTCATTTGATTATTTGAGCTAGGATTCATCTTAGAAATCATGTTTAGACTATGTGCGTATTTGGTTGAGTCATAATGGTCTAATCCTACTGTTTTGAGTTGTTTGCCTTAACTGTAGTTATATACTAAATCATGATCCCTCATTTACATATCATATCTCAGTCTCCGCGTATCACTTATTTAATTCATCACATGTTGTTGTTTCTATATGTGATACTGTTTAGGGTGAGTTTTATGAGGTTGTGAGCCCTTGAGACTCGAGAGGTTGTTGACTGATGTGTTTCATAGAGCCACACTATGAGTGATATTTAGATCGGGTTGCACACCGCAATAGGACAGATTGGCTAATGATTTATATTTGGATCGGGCTGCACGCCGCAACAGGTCATATTGACTTTTGATTAGCGCTTGGGCTAGGATCCACCCCTTTAGAATCTGACATGCCAGCAGTGAGTGCAGGCACAATGATATATATATACATGTACTTTGGTGAGGGGCATATATACTAGGCACCCGTACAGTGCTGATTGTTGTGCGTGATGGTAAGGGGCATTGTGTCAGGCACCGTGAGTATGCTGAGTATGGTTATTCTTGATGGTTTCACTATGATGATATTGATAAAACATGCATATTTGACATATAGGCATGGAGATGTAGTTTCCCTCATGCTAACTGGTAAATGAGATGTTTATTCTGTGTTGGGCTTTAACTTGTCATATTTGAAAAGCATGTCTAAATTCCTGTAATGTGAACAAACTGAATAAGATATCATCGAGTGATACTTTACTGTTTCCTTTATATCCTGAGCTGTTACTAGTTATTGATGTATATCTCTGACTGTTTTTTCTGAGCTGGTCACAGTTTTCAGTCCAAGGTTAGATTTGTTACTTATTTAGTACATGGGGTCAATTATACTCATACTACACTCTGCACTTCGTGTGCAGATCCAGGTACTTAGGACGTGGTGATTGCTAGAGTTGTGTTGGTACCAGCCTTTTTGGAGACTACGAGGTAGCTGCTATGTCGTCTGCAGACTTTGAAGTTCTCTTTCATTTATTATGTTATTACTGTTCTATTATTTAGACAGTGTACTGAGGATTTGGCCTTGTATTTTAATATTCAATAGTGCTCATGTACTCGTTGACACTAGATCATTGGGATGGCTGTAAAAGTATTACTGTTGTTTTGCGATTATCTCATGATATCGCCGCTGTCGAGTTTATTAAATTCTATTTTATTGAATTTACTGTTATTTTGGAATCTATTGGCTTGCCTAGAAAATAGTGTTAGGCGCCATCGCGACTCCGGTAGGAGTTGGGTCATGAAAAGTTGGTATTAGAGTACTAGGTTGCTTAGCTCTCACGAGTCATGAGCAAATTTAATAGAGTCTTTTGGATCGGTACAGAGACATATGTACTTATCTTCGAGAGGGTATTGAACTATTAGGAAACTTCACCTTCTTGCAAGCTAAATTAAGTTCTAGTTTAGGTGAAGGAAGTATGACCGCCTTACCAATAGTTGAAACCCAATTGGGAGATGTTTCGGCTTATATTCCTACTAATGTAATTTTCATTACTGATGGACAAATCTTCTTATCCGCCGACCTATTTAATTCTGGAATCAGACCTGCTATTAATGTGAGTATCTCCGTTTTCAGAGTGGCGTCCGCAGCTCAAATAAAAGCCATGAAACAAGTAGCTGGTAAATTAAAATTAGAACTAGCACAATTCGCAGAATTAGAAGCCTTTGCACAATTTGCTTCTGATCTCGATAAAGCTACTCAGAATCAATTGGCAAGAGGTCAACGATTACGTGAATTGCTTAAACAATCCCAATCAGCTCCTCTCACGGTAGAAGAGCAGATAATGACTATTTATACCGGAACAAACGGCTATCTTGATTCATTAGAAGTTGGACAGGTAAGGAAATTTCTTGTTGAGCTACGTACTTACTTAAAAACTAATAAACCTCAGTTCCAAGAAATCATATCTTCTACCAAGACATTTACCGAGGAAGCAGAAGCCCTTTTGAAAGAAGCTATTCAGGAACAAATGGACCGTTTTATACTTCAGGAACAAACATAAAGAAATATTGATCACTTTTGTCTTCCCATCGTGCGAATTTGTTAATTCTGAAGTCTAAACCTCTATTCTTCTATTTTCTCAGAGATTGTGAGGATACGTTCAGCAGATCAGGCACCAGTACCACCAGTCAAGGCCGCGAGAGGCCGAAGTTGAGGTAGAGGCCGAGTTAGGGCTCGGGGTTATTTCATGATATCCATGTTGTTGAGTTTATTAAATTATGTTTTATTGAATTTACTGTTATTACGAAATCTATTGGCTTGCCTAGCAAGTGTTAGGCACTGTCGCGACTCCGGTGGGAGTTGGGTCGTGATAGTCCGACAATGTTATGGAATAGGTTGCTTAGACGAATTCCCGGTGTGGGGTTTGTCGCCCAAACTTTGAGGAGGGGGAGGGGATTTGGTAGGTCAGAGTTACGCAGAGGCGGATCCAGGATTTGAAGTTTATGAGTTCTTTCAGCAGTCACAAGTTACATATACAATAATAATTGGGTTCATAGTCAAATATTTATAGATATTTAGTGAATTTCTTAATACAAATGCTTGATTAGAGCAAAAGCTACTGAGTTCACAGGAACTCATAGGTTTAAGGCTAGATCGCCCCTACTGATATGCGCCGGAAAAAGCACGCCAGTGGCTATTGGTTGAAGACGCGTCGATTTTGAATACTCGCTTTTGAGAGAGAGAATGTACTACTTCCGTTCCAACTTATGTGACGGTATTTAACTAAGCAGAGTTTAAGAAAGAAAGAAAGACAATGTAGTCTAGAATAAGGCATAAATATTTGTAAGGCTATAAATTATATTATTGAGGGTATAATAGATATTTTAAAGTCAAATTGTTAAAATATGCCATTTTCTTGGGGACTGACTAAAAAAGAAAGAGGTCACATAAATTGAGACGAAGGAAGTAACTTTTTACCGTTAGAACATGAGCTGCTAAACAAGAAGTAAACACTCCTCAGAGTGACAAGTGAAAGCCACTTTCCAGTCAAAGTTTTTCACAAAATTAAAGGACGAGTAAAATGTTTTAACCAAAAAAATATATTAAGAATTAAAATGAAAAAAGGACCAAAATGTAGAGGTAATAAAAGTCATAGATAGAACAGCGAAAAAGTATTAAAATAGAAACTTGTAATCTTAGTAAAAGACATGACTAGTAATTTTGAGATCTTTGTGACAGAAAAAGAAAGAAATCTCTACCGAAGAAAGTGAGATTTGATAATTAGAGATTTACTGCATATTTTAATTAAATACTAAATTACAATGTAAGACAACTCCACTATCTTGTGCTTACTAATAAGGGAATATCCGACCTATAGTAAAGTCAAGTCGTTCCCCTATTTTTCTTATCTTCTCTTTTTCTATTCATCAGATTTTTGGCGTTCATCTAGTATATGACTTCACAAAACATCGAAGCAGACGAACTTGACAAACTGGCAGCGGCCACCAAAAGAATAACCGGAGAAGGGAACATGGTCACTCTCCTCCACTCATCGATCGATCAAATCGAGGTACGAACTATAAACTTGACTTGGGACTGGCGCAATCGTATTGTCACATATTTGCAGAACGACGTGCTTCCAAACGACAAAAAAGAATCCAAAAAACTTTGAATGCAAGCATCCAGGTATAACGTCATCAATAACGACCTATATAAGAGGACATATCGTGGCCCTCTAGCAAAGTGCTTGGGACCAAACCAGATATGACGCGTCCTAGAAGAAGTCCACGAAGGTCACTGCGGGCTCACACCGGCAACCGAGCCCTAGTCAGATGCCTCATACGAGCAGGATACTACTGGCCCACAATGAAAAAGGAAGCCGCCAACTCCGTAAAAAAATACGAACAGTGCCAAAGATATGCCCCCATGATCCATCAAGCAGGCGAGCACCTCCACTCCGTCACCTCGCCTTGGCCTTTCATAAAATGGGGGATGGACATCGTCGGCCCCCTCCCAGCGGGATGAGGTAATGTACGATTTCTTTTAGTTTTAATTATTTTTCAAAGTGGGTGGAAGCAGGTTCATTCGCCCAAATACGTGAGCAAGAAGTGATCACATTCACATGGAGGAATATCATATGCCGTTTCGGCATCCCCAAAGAAATCAGTTGTGACAACGAGCCCCAATTTACTGGTAAAAAGATCGGCGAGTTCTTTGAAAATGACACATCAAAAGAATACTCTCCACGCCATATCATCCCCCGGGCAACGGTCAGGCGGAGTCATCCAACAAGTCAATATTGAACATCATAAAAAAGAAGCTCGAGAACGCTAAGGGATTGTGGCCAGAATTGCTACCAGAAGTGCTATGGGCATACCGCACAATGCCAAAAACGAGCATAGGAGAAATACCATACTCACTAGTCTATGGGACTGATGCAGTAATACTGGTCGAGGTCGGAGAGCCAAGTCTGAGATACTCACACGAGATCGGGCCAACTAACGACGAAAGCAGGAGGCAAGACCTCGATGAGGTCGAAGAACTAAGAGACATGGCTTACATAAGGATGGTTGCTCAGAAACAACAGGCAAAGCGATACTACAACAAAAAATCCAAGGTCAGACCGCTCAAAGTAGGGGACTACGTACTCAAAGCCAAAACACAGGCAAGTAAGGACCCACGAGAAGGAAAGCTAGAGACTAATTGGGAGGGCCCATACAAAATTACGGCGGCAGCAAGCAAAGGGCCATTCCAACTAGAAACAATGGAGGGGAAGCTATTGCCAAACAACTGGAACATCGCCCACCTCAAGTACTTCAACTTCTAAGGAAAGATGTTCTCCGAGTAGTGCTCTTTTTCCCTCACCTGAGTTTTGTCCCAATTGGATTTTCTTAGGGAGGTTTTTAACGAGGCGACAAAGAGGACATCTCGAAGTTTAAGGCTCGAGCAAGTTAGATTATAGGTTGGAAAGTTCATTGTTCGACCCCTCGAATACTTCTCCGGGCAGAGCATACAAACACATGATGTTCGCCTGTGTGTGTGTGTGTAAGCAAAGCATAAAAACACATGATGTTCGCCTGTCTCCACCAAATTTTAACTCTGCACTAATCAATGCACTCACATTCGACCTCGTTCGAATCGATTAAGAGTCAGCATTCGACCTCACTCAAATCGACTCATATTCAACCTTGTTCGAATTAACTAAGATTCAACATTCAGACCTCGCTCGGATCGACTCACATTCGACCTCATTCAAATTAACTAAGAGTCAACATTCGACCTCGCTCAAATTGACTCACATTTGACCTTGTTCGAATCAACTAAGAGTCAGCATCCGATCTCGCTCGAATCGACTCATATTTGATCTCATTCGAATAAACTAAAAGTCAACGTTCGACCTCGCTCGAATCGACTTATATTCGACCTCGTTCGAATCAACTAAGAGTCAGCATTTGACCTCACTCGAATCGAGTCATATTCGACCTCGTTCGAATAAACTAAGAGTCAATATTTGACCTCGCTCGAATCGACTCACGTTCCACCTTGTTCGAATTAATTAAAGTGACATTCGACCTCGTTCAAATTAACTCACATTCGACCTCGTTTGAATTAACTTACATTTGAACTCGATCGAATTAATACGTTCGACCTCGTTCGAATTAATACGTTCGACCTCGTTCGAATTAGTAAAGAATCATATTCGATACACTCGAATTCAACTCATACTCAACCTGACTTGAGTTCGATTTACAAGTTAACTTCATTTGAGTTAAGTACAACGACATGGGACTTCACCCAGATTCAATCAAAGATATACTCGACCATGTTCGAAATAGCACATACCAATACAATTCTTGTAAAAGCAACTATTTGAAGAAAAACATTCGAAGAAAAATAAAAAGGCCCAATAACGTACAACAAAGGGTTGTGATCATTCCATTCCAAAAAGTATCTTACAAAGGGACAGAAAGACGCCCACAAGAAAAAGACAAAAACTAAGTACAAAGTACTACTCCATGTCATCCACACCTTCACTGTTGCCGCCTTCACCATCCGGCCCAGCAGCGCCATCTCCATCATCGCCCCTGCCATCAGAATACTCGTTATCATACCAAGAATCTAACTCAAGCCCGCCTAAATCATCTTCACCATCACTGGTCCTCGATGTAGGAGG